TGGGTCTATCCGCCCTCGAATAGGATATGATGGGTCTATCCGCCCTCGAATAGGATATGATGATTCTATCCGCCCTCGAATTGGATATGATGGGTCTATCCACCCTCGAATTGGATATGATGGGTCTGTCCGCCCTCGAATAGGATATGATGGGTCTGTCCGCCCTCGAATAGGATATGATGGGTCTGTCCGCCCTCGAATACGATATGATGGGTCTATCCGCCCTCGAATAGGATATTGAATTTAATCCTTCCTCAAAAGGACATTTAATTTATTTCGACCCGAGTGGTCCTGCTTACATTGCCAAAATATATATTTTCATAAATCATTGCCAAATGCATTTTATTTTCAAAATTGCTGATGAAGTCAGGAGCCCGCCTGGAGAATGGAGGGTGTTAAATTCTAAGATTGTTGAAGAAGTCAGGAGTCTGCCTGGAGAATGGAGGTTGTGTCATCTTTCAAAAGTCAAGGTGGAGTCAGGAGCCCACTTGCAGAACAGGGGAATACATTTCAAGATCAAATCAGAAGTAAGTAATGCGTAGGGTTACAACAACAAAAAAAATCCCCAGCATAACAAGCTTTAATGAAGGAAGCAGTATCCCCAGCAGACCGAACAAAATGATGACACTTGTAAAAGCAAAAGGCCAGTGTCATCCCCAGTAGTTTTCGGAAGAAAAAGCACCGGAGAAAACACAACCCGACAAGAAATCAAGGCAATAAGAACAAGTCGTAGATAGATAAAAAAAATTTAAAAAATTCCTAGTTTAAGTCTAGCTTCTTGTTTTCTTTTGGCACGGTGTAATAAGGAGATCAAAAAGCAGTAGCAACAGCATGCGGCAACAGTAACGGCAAACTTGCAGTTCCATGGTAGTCCTAGCTACCAAAACTTCCCGAACTACATTAACCTGATTCCCTTCTAGCCAGGGATATGTAGGAAACCTTTGAAACAAAGGTTCGGTTAAATCTTTTTCAAAAAATGCTTCACACGGAGTACTCGGATGGGCAAAAATCGCTCACTTTATCTTTGCACGAAAACTCTTCGTGTTTTCAGACAAAGAGGGGCAGCTTTAAGCACGTGATTTTTGCCCTATGAGAGAATTACTCCCAAAAATTCAAAATAAAACAATTTTCCTTTTGTGTGCAATTTTGAGAATTTCGTGGCATTTTTGGATAATTATTTGTATTTGTCCGTGCATGTTTATTTGTTAAATTAATAAAAAATACAAAAATAAGTCTCATTTGCATTTAGGATTTAATTCTACAATTGGGAGCAATTAAGTTTGTTTTAAAAAAAGAACAAAAAATCATAAAAATAATGTACGTTGCATTTTTAGCATTTAATGTCCAAATTGTGTGATTTTATCGTAATTGCTATTTAATTGTATGTTAATTGTTATTGAGAGTTAATTTGCACTTTTATAAATTAATTTAGTTCTACAGGATAATTTAGAATTTTTATAATTTAGTTTAGTTTAAGAAAAAATAAAAGAAGCAATAAAAGAAGAAGAAAATCGGATTGGGCCACATTTTAATTTAAATCAACCATGGCCCAAACCAAATAACCCCACCGGGTCGAC